AAGAAGAAGAAGAAGAAGAAGAAGAAGAAGAAGAAGAAGAAGAAGAAAAAGAAGAAGAAAAAGGAAAAGGAAAAAAACCCAAAAACCATTGCTTGATATTCTCTGGGCCAGAAAGTTTGCAGGATTCAGCATCTTCAAAAACTGTCACAGAAGAAAGAAAAACAAAATGCATATTTTTCCAGCCTAGGAAATCCCATCTGTATAAAGACTAAATGAATAACACTCTAAAAATTCCCCCATGTGCACAAATTCACGTCACCAACAATGTATTGTCTTTTTGTGGAGAAGACACAGGCTCACACATTTTATCTTATTTCATCTCATTTTGCAACTGTGTCTCCTTTGCAACATATTACTATAGAAAAGAGATAAGGCAAATATATATATATATATAACTCTAGAGAACAAAATGCCAATCTCTCTCCTTTCTCTGGGATCCTTTCCTTATGGTCTTTCTTTTTCTATCCCCAAACACCAGAAAAATAAGAAATATTTCCACTGACTTGGAGTGAATCTTCTATTTGAATAGCTTGCCTGGATCTATCCAGAGTCCATGCTTAAACACTTCATCTCTTCATTTGGTCCTCCCCACTGCACTCTTTCCATCAGAAGCAGACCTTCCCACCCCAGTTCCCACAGCCATGTACCTCTGCCCTTAGGCGTGCACCACCCATCTCCTCTATAGGGAGGCACTTGGTCTGATTTTACCCTTCGTGCTTTTCTCATTATCTTAGTTCATCCACACCACATAAATTATCACCTTCATTTTCAGTTCCCCATGTGCCCCATTCACACCAATTCCAAATAAATACTTCTGATTCCCATCCATTTAATCCAAATTAATTCATAGTCCTTCGCCCATCCCCCATTCCTCTCCCCACTTCCCCTTCACATCTATTTCTCTTTCTTACAGCAACCGCTCCTCTTCCCCATCCATGCTCCTCTTCCAGGACAGCGGAATGCAGCGCACTTCTGAGTCCAGGTGGTGACTGCTTCCCTTGCTATCTGGGGAAAGCCATTTTCCCTAGGCTAGAATTTGCAGGACCAGTTTAACCCTGCACCCTGGTGTCCAACGGCATCATCCCTTCCCACCCACAAATCAGCCATGGGAGTCACTTGACTGCATGTTGAAGATCCTTCCAAAAAGCTTAGGTGCAGAAGTATCCCAGACTTTGAACTTTCTGCTCTTGAAATACAAACACACCCATAATGAGAAGTGTGCTATACTCATAGTTCAGTGCCTTGTCCAGTAGACATCAGAGAGCTTCCTCTGGCAACAGACAGAAGAGGTGCAGACACCCACAGACAGACATTATATATGTAAGGAGTCTAAAGAAGAGCTTTCTATGGTGCCCCTCCCCTCGGAGCTCGGGGACATCGAGGAAGAAGGGGAAGAAAGGCTGAAGGAGTCAGAGGGGATGGAGGATACCAGGAGAACATGACCTGAAGAATCAACTAAGTAAGGCTCAAAGGGGCTCACAGAGGCTGAAGTGGCAAGCACAGGGCCTACATGGGTCTGCACAATGTCCTCTGCATATACGTTAGCTTGGTGTTTTTGTGGAGCTCGTAATAGTGGGAGCCAGTATGTCTCTGACTCTTTTGCCTGCTCTTGGGGCTCTTTTCCTCCTATTGGGTTGCCTTGTTGAGTCTCAATATGAGTGGCTTTGCCTTGTCTTATTGTATCTTGCTTTGTTGTATCTGGTTGTTGTCTCCTGGAGACTTGCTCTTTTCTGAGGAGAAATGTAGGGGAGCCATGGGTCTGGGAGAGAAGAGGTGGAGGCTGGAAAGAGTGGAGGGATGGGAATCTTTGATCAGGATGTTATATGAGAAAAGAATCTATTTTCAATAAATAAATAGATGATAGATAGACAGACAGACAGATAGATACCAAGTCATCTATAATCCCAGAGCTGGAGAAGTGGAGACAGGAGGACCCTGATTGTTCACTGGCCAGTCAGTCTAGCCAATCAATGAGCTCTATGTTCATTAAGTCCCCTTTCTCAAAAACTAAGAGGGGAAAAGGGATTGAGGGAGGCACTGAATGCTGACTTCTGGCCTCCATAGGCATGTGTGTGCACATACCCACCCACAACCCCCACAAACACATATACATACACACCACAAGAGAGTTTGGGAGTCTGAAACATTGTGGTTAAGGACACTCAGCCTTCTTTAGCTCCAGCTAACTGACCTGTGTCCAGTTTACATAAAGCTGTCTCACTCATTTATCATTACCCAATGTCAAAACCAAGAGTAAGAACCCAAATCACCACAACCGTAATGATAACAAAACAACTCCACCACTATTGTTAATGAGCTACGATTGTCTGCCAAGCAAACAGCTCATTCAATCTTTGAAACTTTAATGTGGACATACTTATCCTTCTTCACTGACGAAGAGACGGAGGCCCAGAGAAGATAATGTATACCGATCATAAGTCTAGGAAGTAGTAGAGGCAGAACACAAACCCCAGGGAACTTGACTATGACACCCTGCCCAACTGCTATTCAACACTGCTGCTCTCAGTACATTTCCTGTGCTCTTGGCACTTACGTCCACTACAAAGCAAGTAGCTGCAGCCGTTATGCATAACAAGCCCCACCTTGGTACTCACTCTGAGCACCTATTTTCAAAAAACAAATCCCCATATCATGCTTCAGTTATCATGGTGATCCTTCGGACACCTCTGGGGTCACACGGTGGGAAGAGGAAAACACTCTAGACACTCCCCACCACTCCCTAAAACTCTGCTCCTCAGAGCTGTCCAGCTTCTAGCCAAGAGGTAACCTGGTTAGTGCCAAACATTCAGGAAGGTGACCATCTATAATCACATATTCCACAGCTCAGCATATCACAACAACATTGCTTCATTTTGCTTTCTTTGGTTTCCTTGGGGAGCAGAAGGGGTGAGCTCTGCTCTTTAGCCTGAGGGTATTGTAATGCCTTGTCATGACTTTCTTCTCTGACTCAATAAAGAAAGAAATAAAAATTAAAATGATTTCGAATAGTATCAAGAGAGGGAAAGGGCTGCGTGGTGGTGACACAGGCCTTTAATCCAAGCACTCTGGGAGGCAGAGGCAGGCGGATCTCTGTGAGTTCAAGGCCAGCCTGGTCTACAAGAGCCAGTTCCAGGACAGTTAGGGCTGTTACACAGAGAAACCCTGTCTTGAATAAACAAAAAAGAAAAAGAAAACAAAGGGGGGAGGGGAAAGGGCTGACCACAGAAAGAAGCACTGACTTTAGTGTCTGGAGCTGGAGAAGTTGAACTCGGATTCTGACAGAATCTGAAGCTGGGATGCGGATTCAGAGTCTGTGTTAGGAAGACCACTCCACAAACCTAGCAAGAGTCACGCAGTGCTTTCTGCTTAGTTCTGTGGGTGCTTGCCTAAGTCAGGACCCAGGAAGCAATGCTAGGCCTCTTCATTGCTTGAGGACACCACTGAGGTTCAACCAGGTGGCTTCTCTTCACACAGGGTGCATTTTCCTTCAGGAACACTGTTCATGGTCATATAAAGACATAGATCCCAAACATGAGAGCTGAGAGAGACCCTCACAGCCACACTGTCGCCGGGTTGCTTGGTTGTGTTTTTAGACAGAGTCTTACTGAGTAGCCCTGACTAGGCTGGTACTCACTTATATAGACCAGACTAACCTAGAACCCATAGAGATCCACTTGTTTCTGCCTCCTGAGTGCTGAGATTGAAGGCCAGCACTGGCCCTAGGCTTTTCTCTGACCTCACAGGCTATTCCTTACTTTCCGCTAAGAACTGTCTTACTCTTACACCTTTGGGGTTGCTCCCTAAGCGGTGCACAGAAACCACACACGTGATGCACTGGTAGCGACCCACTCACACACCACCATTTCCAGGAATTTCTCCTCGAGGCACTTCAGCCGATCAAGAAGAGATGTGACCCCAAGCTCCAGTCCCAAAACTGAAAATAAAGACAGTCTTAAGGAAAATGGTGCCACCTCTCTCTCCTGTGTGAAACACCCACTTCCAAATGATCCCATTGCCCCAAAGAGTAGCGCAGAGATCCTGAGTGAAATATCCAGTCCCCTCCCCACCACCCTTCCCACACACACAGCCATATAATCACTTCAGCAACTTCTTCTCGGTAACAAGCTCATTAAAAAGCAATTCTGCCACCTCTCCATAAAGCACGCGCCAGAGAACAATGCAAAAGAGGAGATGCCAATTAATTATAGGATGATCACATCTAATGAACTCTGAAACCCTCCTGCTGTTTGTGACTTTGATAAAAAAAAAAAATCAGGAATGCTGGGGGAAGAGTGACTAGGACCATCCTGGCTACCAGGTACAGCCGTGAATGTTCTGAAATGTACCTCTTCAGCTTCCGTGTGGATCAAACTCAGAACCATATTCAGGGATGCTAATGTGGGGTACTGGGAATGTCACATGTGTCTGTGGGCCACACCAGAGTCCCATTCCTTTAGTCCTTGGTTCTCTGCAGGGTTAGCCTTGCCTCCGAAACCAGCCCCCTCAGCCAGGCAGTGAAAATCCCATGTACTGTGCTGGAAGAACTTAAGACCCTCGAGTCAGAAGTAAGTCATTTCACTTCCCTAGCCAGCTCTCCTGCCTCCTAGAAAGTAGGAAGGCAACCTCTTATAAAAGAATCCCATCTCACCACAAGGGGAATGTGTAAAAGAGGAAGAAATGACCTGCGGCCAACTTGTACCACTACCTGTGTGAGTCCTCTGGTGGGCCTTTAAGTGGGAGCTTTTTGTATAAACTTTCCGGCATCCATTAAACTGACAGCGGTGGACCCTCTTCTTGTTTTCAGGGCACGAGTCAGCCCCTACCCCTCCTTGTTCACTGTCGCTCTGTCCACTCTTAACTGCTCCAGCTGGTGCCACGGCTGCGGCCGCCGCCACCCCTCCCACCTTCACTGAGCTGAGGGAAGCCTTCTTGGCCACCAGTTTCAACGTCACCGTGCCATCCACGGCTGAGAGAGTCTGTGAGGTTTTGACCAGATGGCGGCTGAGCTCAGGGGATGAGGGGGGCGTTAATGAGGTCACTGCGTTGAGCTGGGCCTGGTTGACGGCTGTGTAGCTGTCTAGGGAAGAGCTGGTTGGCTGGAGACTGAGGCAGGTCTCAGATAGCAACTTGTCCCGAGAGAGCAGAATGTCCACGGCAGAGCTCTTCTCGCAGATGGCGGCTTCCACTGGGAGCAGCAAGGGGTCTAAGCGCCGGAAGCTTTCCTCAATGCACGGGGGAGGAGAGGCATGGAGGAAGCAGTCCAAATCCTCGCCAAAGGTCTCCGAGATCCGTCGGGGTTCCGTCTGGAGGTAGCGTTCCAACTCAAGGCATGTCTGTGGGGGAAGGAAGAAGAGAAGTAACCATCAGAGGCTAAGGACACCTGGAGGCAAACAGGAACTGCAGTGAAGGCTTTCATGGCCAATGTCTGAAAATGCTCTTGCCTATGAGTCTGATGCCTTCATATGTACTCTTTGAGTCCTTCTGCGGAGCGCAGCAAGGCCACAGTGATGACTTCAACTACTGTAGAAGACAGAAAACTGGAGTCACAGAAGGACTGTCTCACACCTGTGAAATCCACAGAACCTTAACAACAACACGGTCTCTTTCGTTTCTATCAATTCAGCAGCTAAGATGGTCTAAGCACCACTAGGATTTGCTGTGGAAGCAAGATGCAAATAGAAGCAAAAATTGTTCATGGTCCCAATCCAATGTTCAAGACAGACTCGAACAAGTTACAAAGCTAAGTCAACTTTACAAGTTGTGTTCTACACATATTTAATAAAAGAGGCAACTTCTAGAGCTGTCAGGAAGAGCCAGCCCTGACTTGAGTCTGGATTCTATGGCCACATCGAATGGATATCGTTCTACAGAATGCCTATTATAAAATCTTGAAGACATAAGACAAAACCTCTGTTGTCCTTAGTACATTATAATAACTGCAATTACTCTCCACTGTGTAGAAAGATAAATGAATCTCAATACTACTGCTTGGTACCTCTGACTATCCAGCAAAAATAAGTTCAAAGACAACAGTTAAGACTTATAAAAGGTACCAGGTTTGGTGAGTATAATTTTAATCCCAGTACTCAGGAGTCAGAAGCAGGCAAATCTCTGAGTCCCTGGCCAGCTTGGCTTAGGCAATGAGTGAAAGATTATGAAAGATAGAAGATTATAAATCATAGAACTTTCAAGTAATAGAGAGGAACAAAAAAAAATAGCTTCTGCAAATCTTTGGCTAAGGTGCTCCCAAGTCCTTGAAAGATGGTAGGAGCTCTTTCATAGCAGAAATATGTTAGCCTTCCAAAGCTCTCCTCAATCGCACCATCCCAGGCTCCTCCAGAAATATGTTAGCCTTCCAAAGCTCTCCTCAATCTCACCATCC